GAATTTTGTCAGTAACGGCCTACTATTCATGACCATAAATGAGGGTGGAGTTGAAAATCGGCTTCAACACAGACAATTTGGTCTTCAGACTCAGCCCTGGTTTGGTCACAACGGTTCGAGCCAAATACCACTGGCCATTTCAATTCGCCGACGACGATCAATCTTTTCCTCCAATTTTTCGTCACAGGCAAACATCATCCCGAAGTACGTGAATTTCTACACATGCTCCAGTTCTCTGTGTAGTTCCAGAGCTCAACGGATAGGATTACGAGAAAGCAATAGGTCCTTTGTTTCAGGCACGCTTACACGCATGCCGGCCACGTCGCATTCGGCTGTGAAGCTTTCTAGTTTAGCTCGAACGCAAAATTAGTTTCAAAACATGCTAGTAAGACAAAACCATATGCAAACAGCAAACTCATCGTTTCAGCATCTCTAAACTGATACACTCGTCGCTCCGGCTACACCTGAGTACTCTCACACAAACAGAAGAGGGGGCAGAACCAGCCTTTGGGGGAAACCAGGGCTCGACTAAATGCTGTTTCCTCTGATATAGTACCTGCTGTCTACAGTGTTATTGAATGGTTCGTAACAGTTGGCCATCGATTCCATATGTTTGCAAGGACCACCGCAGCTTGTTGCCCCGGATACGGTCAGAGGCTCTATCCGAGTTTATCAATCATCTTTCAGCCATTTTACATATTTTCAAAACACTTGTAGAAATTCTAAAGAAGAGGAATAAACTTTGATCGAAATCCAACGTGTGTATGAATAATATTGAAAATTTCCTCGGGACTGCATACCCAATTATTGTACTAAGTAGTAAGTTTCTTAGTGTTTAGCAATCAGACGCCTACTTTGGCTACTATCAGCCGCGGAGTTTCGTTATTGCAAACTTATATGATCTTGGTTCGGTGTGAGTCGATCTTAGGCCATCGGTTTCTACGACTTTATAATTTGGGTATTAAGAAGAATTTCAGGCAGCATCGATGTTAAGTGTTATTGTGATCTGTGTTTACGTTTGGTATTCGCCGCTGATGACTAACGGTTTCGCTTACTTTGCAGCCAGAACAACACTTGGATTTAATTTCTTGAAAAACAGGGCGCAATTCAATTAATTTTTTATGTTTCTAAAAACTGAAGAATTTAAGAGTTTAGCCGAGGAGTGGTAAAGCTGACTCGGCATCAGCTTAGCGAACTGCTGTGCTGTTGCAAACTCGTTGGTTTTGGTTACTTGCACAAAAAATACTGGTTTAATGGTTGTGTAATTTAAGACCTAGACCACCGTACGATACTGTGGCTGTGGCATAGCCGGCCAACGTTGTCCAACCGATGCGATACCCACTTATGTGACGCCAAAGTCAATATGGACACGTGACACAGCACAACTGCAGCTGTTCCCTTCTCTTACGAAGCTATTAAACGGCGATGATCGTTTGGAAGTAAGCCGTGGATGGTCGTCTCGACGGTCCAACTGTCCGCAAAGTTTCGCGGATCCGTCTTGGGTCTTGGGTGGCGAGAGCTTGACCATCAGCTTGAGCTGTCCACGACCGCCACTGTGCCGGTGAGGCCTCTCGGCGAGGCGGAGGGCGCACGGTCAGTGTTTGCCGG